ATTTGATCCTTAATGGCTGTGCAATCATTGTAACAGAGTTTGGTTATGTTGTTAAGAAAGGCTAGATTTGACATTAATAGATGCCACAGATGTTTAAAAGCTGCCACAAAGTATGAAAAAAATGGACGTCTCCAAAAACGTCGGAGCATTTTTGCAAATATGTGATGTCTTGAAAAATCGAGCAGATATTTGAGCTTTACTCAGCTACATGCAGACAGACCTTCATACCGAGGCCTGTCCTGAAGAAAAGCACCATGTTAGCAGAGTTGGTGGAGGAGCTGAAAAAGACTGGACTGTATGCTGTTCCTGCTGATGGCTGCTATGCTGGACCTGGAGATGTGGCCTGTGATGTCTGCAGTGGGAGAAAGCTCAAAGCCATCAAATCCTGTCTGCAGTGTCTGGTCTCTTACTGTGAGCAACATCTCCAGCCTCATCATAATGTAGACGCATTAAAGAAACACAAACTGGTCGACCCCTCCGAGAAGCTTCAGGATACCATCTGCTCTCGCCACAATGAGGTAATGAAGATTTTCTGCCGCACTGATAACAGATGTATCTGTTATACCTGCTCCATAGATGAGCATAAAGCCCACGAGACAGTCCCAGCATCAGCTGAAAGAACTCAAAGACAGAAAGAGCTCGATCCATGTCGTGAAAAAATTCAACAAAGAATTGAGAATAGAAAAAAAGACGTGAATTTGCTTAAGCAGGAAGTGGAAGCCATTAATCAGTCCGCTGATAAAGCTAAGAGGGACACTGAGAAAATATTCAGTGAGCTGATCCTCCTTATTGAGAAAAGAAGCTCTGATATGAAGCAACAGATCAGATTCCATCAGGAAACTGAAATAAATTGAGTCAACAAGCTTCTGGAAGAGCTCGAGGAGGAACTCAATGAGCTGAAAAGGAAAGATACTGAACTGGAGAAGCTCTCTCACACAGAGGATCACACCCAGTTTCTGAATATGTTTCCAGTGCTCTCAGATCTCAGTGAATCTTCAGAGTCACGATGTCCCACAGCCTGTCCTTTGCTGTATTTTGGGGAATGTGCCGGCTGCTGTATCAGAGGTGAAAGATAAGCTACAGGGCGTTCTTCAGAGGGGATGGCAAAAAGTTTTGCGGAAAGTGATTAATGTGCATGTGTTGGTACCACAACCAGAGCCCCAAACCAGAGCTTAATTCTTAAAGTTTTCAACTCAGCTCACACTGGATCCAGACACTGTAAACACGAGGATGTTATTATCTGAAGAGAACAGAAGGGCAACATTTGTGAGTAAAAAACAGGCATATCCTGGTCACCGTGAAAGATTCATGAACAGGTCTCAGGTCCTGAGCAGAGAAAGTCTGACTGGACGTCATTACTGGGAGGTAGAGTGGAGCGGGTTTGGTATGTACGTAGCAGTCGCGTACAAAAGTATTATGAGAACAGGAGATGAAAGTGAATTTGGAAATAATGATAAGTCCTGGGCATTAAGGTGTTCTTCCAGTCACTATGAATTAAGTCATAAAAGAGTATGTGAATGGTTTTCAGGTCCTCAGTCCTTCAGAATAGGAGTGTACCTGGATCACACAGCAGGTGTTCTGTCTTTCTACAGCGTCTTTGACACCATGATTCTC